ACATCACATCATTCAGGTTTAGTAACCAACTGCTTTAGCACAGGAGAAAAAACCCATTTTAGCACTTCTGCAACTTTTTTATGCTGATGGTTGACTGCCATAGAGCCATGAGTTTTAGAGTTCATAACCATAACACTAATCATGCTAAGAGGGAGAGAAGAATGACTGAGGGAGAAAAGTATCCTGCCCATATCTGAAGGGTTATTCAAACAGCCTGGCTCCAAGGTAGGAATTTTGGCCCTCTGTTAATGGAGCAACTCGGGGTAAGGAATTGATAAAATCACTTTGCTGAGCCCCCTAAGGACCCTGCAGGGAGTCCTGCATGAGATGGCTGAGGTTATGCTAAGTCAACAACCTCCTCTCCCCAGCCTTCCACCTCAATTCTCCACTTCACCTTCCCACAGCACTTAAATGGCTTTCTGTCCCACACCAGGGTCTTAACAAGAAAAGTGCAACTCAGAAAACAAGGAAGCAGGTAATACCAATAAACTCTGAAATTCAACTGCACTTCACAAAAAGACAAAAACAGCAATGAAAACCAGTGACAACCAGCAGAACAAGGTGGGAGGACAGCACTTTGAGAGGCAGCGGTCAGGGACCACAGAGGCTTTGCACTGTAAATAAAAGTTAAATAAAGTTAACCCTGAGAAGCCAGGCCAGGACTGCAGACCTGGGTGTTTCTCACACGTGGTGACTACTGCCAGGAAAAGCAAGAGGTGGACCACCAAGGGAGTGGAGATGAACATCAGGCTCCAGGCAGCACCAGGGAGAGAACACCAGGCACCAGCACATCTCTCCGTGGGCTGGCACAGCACCTGCCTGGCACCCAGGGACAAAACAAACACCCAGCAACTCCCAGCCAGCACAGACACAGGGAACAGCCACGAACTGGGAGATGAAACACAAAGACCCATAAAATTTTAAGTGTAAAATGCAAATCTAGTTGTACTAAACGTTGCTTTTAGGAGCTGGCTGGGAGCGGGGAGAGGAGAGGGAGGGGCACAAAGTTCCCCTGGAAGCACTTTCCAGTGTACCTCCACTATTGTTCCACCAACAAAGGCTTCTCAAATTTCACCACTCATAACTCCAAACCAGCCAGAGTTCCACGCTGTGACTGACTGCCTCCCAGATACTCCAGAGAGCACAACGCTGAGCTGCACACATCTATTTCCAGTTTCACAGGGATTTTCACAGCGGAGGTTCGGGGTCCTGTGCTCAGGGGAGCCAGGCTCAGTGGGGACTTCAAAGGGGTTGGCAGAGGACAAGAAAATGAGAGACCTGAGAGCTGGTGGTGGGCACACAGCAGAGAGCTGCCACATCATGGAAAGAACTTCAACAATACTCCCCTCCTATTTTCCCTGTCTCTCACTCGTGCCTTAGTCCACCTCAGCTCAGGCTTTCCTCATATTCTCTGTTCCTGTATCTGAAAAATATATGAAGCTATTTTTTTCACTTAAAAGGAACTTTCAACCAGTTCACAGAATTTGGATCAAGAGACGTATTTTCAAAACAGTATCAATATTCATCATTATGTAAGAATTGCAAGTCACAGGAGGTCTCTCAAGTCAAACATTAAATTTCACATTAAAATTTGATAATGCTGACACAAACAGATACCACAGTAGTTATTACTGCTTTTAATGTGCCACTGTTCACTCCACTCAGACAAGTTAACATCTACATAATTAATAGCTCCAATCTCTAACACAGTATCTGTATCCTGGGAGCTAGAAGTATTTATTACTTAGGCTTTACCAGTCACCTCTTTTAGTTTCAAACTGAGCTTTCAGTAAACGAAAAATTTAAATTTTAAGATAAAAATTTAAATTAGTTTACAAAACATCTTAAAGAAAAAAAATTAATCTTACTCAAAAGCATTTCACAAAGTTTACAGCTTCAGTAGAAAGGGGTGTACATTCAGAGAGGAATCAAAGCATTTATCACATCACTGCTGCATTTACACTCCCTGCCCTTTCAATTCTCACACAAACCACTGGGTCACACTCACTGACCAAAGCAGGATCATTTGCACCAATGTTACTGATCCCCAACAATCTCTAAAAAAAAAAAAAAAAGGTATGATTTGGAAAAAAACCCCCCATATGTCCATTATTATTGAGCTGGGTCAGCAAGGACAAGTGTCAGTGAGGAACATTAAGTGTTCTTTGAGCTTACAGCCACATGGGAAGACAAAGCTGTTCTCAAAACCTCCTACAGAAGTTAGCTGTCCATTTTTTATTGAAAAGCACTAGGAAATACATGCCCACAGCACTTCATCTCACACAGCTTGTTTGAGAACAAGGCCTTCCCAAAACCAAACCATTGGGATGCTTTGGAAAACCCAGCCACAAAGCCTGCCTTGAAAACACTGCAGTGCAAACAATGCATGAGTGAAAAATCATCACCTGGGATTCTTAATTCCCAAGTCTAGTGTCCCAGGGTTTCAAAAACCCACTTCCACCACTACCGACCTAAGATAGTCTTCTTTGTTCGGGATCACGCTGCACAAGTTCATCCCACACAAAAAGCCATGGGGATCATCCCCACTATGATTCCACCATTTTTACTGGTTTGAATATAACATCCTCTCTTGCATCTCTGAGACATTCCAAGATCAAACACACCCTGAAGTCCTGGCCTCCTCACACATTATCACCTCAGCTAGCGTCTGGAGTTCGGGGGACACCCACAAGAATTCTGGGGGTCAGTATTTCTGTGGCATCACATCACCACACTGGATCTCCTTAAGGAACCTGGTATCAATTCCCCAGGCTTCCCTGCCTCTGTGGAAGATACCTGACAGGCCTTGCATCTGCACACTGGGAAAGAGAAAGCCCTAGCTTCACTCTCAGTGAGAGCCTTTGACATACATTTAAATGCAAGAGGCTGCACCAAAGGGGACTGGCCAACAGCAATTCCAGCACACCTGATCAAAGCCACAAGAACAAGCAAGCTCTACAGGCTTTCCTTAGATCACCTCACTCTGGGTGCCCTGACTCTGAAAACTGAAATAGCACTCCCTGAAGAGCATCAACCACAGTCAACAAAATCACAAAGGCACACATGCAGTGGGATATGTATTGCACCAACTAACCTGAGAACCCTGGCTCCCTCACTGACAGGGAGGGAGGCTGCTAACACAGGCATTCCAGCTACTGCAGGCTCCAATCCATGTGGGAGGACCAGCCTCCAAACTCAACATATGGAAGATCGGTACCCAAGGAGTTTGGGAGGTGCCAGAAGTCAGATTGTCTGAATACTCCTGGATCCAGGGGAGATGGGGAACCTCAGCAGCTCCCCATAACCCTTCCTGGGTTGATCCAGACTTTAACTAACCAAGAAACAGGGCAGAGAACATCCACTTTTTAAACACAAGAACTTATTTCTTCAAAAGAAGGAGCTCCTTCAAACTCAAACTCATTGTTATTATCTTTTTTTCTAGCTTTACTAAGGTAAGAAGACATACAATAGAAAGAACTGGGTCACAAATGACATAAATCAGGAACAACCCAGCTTGCTTATTTCAGGGGATGATTTTATAAACACAGGGGATGAGTTTATAAAACATCCTCCTAGCATTGTGAAAACTAGCTTTCCATGAAAAATAAACTTTTTATAAAGAATACAAGAATACTGTAATCAATGTACTGGTCACCACACGTAACCCATTTCCATTCTGTGCACTTCTCTGCTTAGACAACAAAACCAGTTCTGGTCATTAACAATTGCCAATAGTCTCTTCTACTCCTTGGTGCTGCTGTGTATCAGGCACTGCAAGATTCTTTTATATTGCAGAGCCATTTTCCTTTGTGTTAAAATTCCCTACAGCTTGCAAGGGAACTAAGGTAGAGTATATCCCTTTAACATAGTTTAACCACCCTTAATATTTGGAATGGAAAATGTGACTTAGGTACTGAGGTTTAAAAAACAGCTACGTTGCATGTGGCCAATTTTCTAAACATGAATCTCATAAGGTTTTTTAGGGCCTTTTTTTCCCCTTTCTTTCTATTTTTTTTTCCCCAGGAGAATGCAGGGCTTACAGAGACAGCCAGCTAAATGCAACAGACCATTATGGCCCAGAGGTTTCCAATTTGCAGCTAGAAATGGTTTACATTACGAAAACTAACAGTTCCAAAAGGTATTTAAAAAGAAGAGTGGGGGAGAAAAGAAAAAAACCAGCATTTCATAAGCGCCTAAATATGGACTGGCAAGGAAATAAATTTAAATCTATGCAGTTAATAGCCAGTCTTACCAGAAGAAGCGTTTAGGAGAAAATGGCTTTATGTGGCTCTGGGATAACTAAACCCACATTTTTCACACAGCTCGGTGCTGTGTTTCGGTGAAACGCGGGGTCCCCGGGCACTGTGAGGGGCGCAGGGACGCGGGAAACCCACCGGGGGTGCGGGAGCAGAGCCGGGGGAGGGCGGGGCGGCCCCGCTGGACACGGGGCTTGTCTCAGAACCCTGGGGGGGGGGGGGGGGGGGGGCATGGAACGAAAAAAAAATTTTTGAAAAATTAAAAAAAAAAATAAATAAAGGAAGGAAGGAAGAAAGTTGAGCGCAGTGCCGCGGGGTCGGTGCCGGCTGCCCCGCTCCCCCCGCACCGCGGGGCTCCCAGCACGGGGCACGGGCGGAGCGGGGAGGCGGCGGGGGGGGCCCCGCACACCGGGAGCCCCGCAGAGCCCCCGCACTCCGCCGGGACCCTCGCCCGCCCCGCCCCGCTCCCGGCCCGGCTCCCCGCGGCCGCCACCGCCTCCGCCCAGCGGAGAACTTGGCGGGCGGGCGAACGCGGGGCTCGCTCGGAACCGCGGCCGCCCTTACCCTCCGGCTCCATCTGGTCCCGCCGCCGCGCTCCGGCGCTCCCCGAGCCGCTACGCGCCGAGCTGGGCCGGGCGCTTACAAAGGCGGCCGCCGGGCGAGGGGGGTGGGTTTCCTCTCCCTCCCACTGCAGCTGCATCGCGCCATGAGGCGCCGCCAGCGGGACGCGGCGCCCCCGAAGGCGGCGGAGGCGGGAGGAGCCCCCGGCCCGGCCCGGCGCAGGAGGCCGCGGGACCAGGTGCTGCTGCCGGCGGCGGCGAAGGGTCGCCCTCGCCCGCCCCTCGTGAGGGGTGGGGGCCGAGAGGAGGGGGAGGACACCCCTCCCTGCCCTGGGGAAGCAGCGCTGCGAGGAGCCGGAGCGGTCCCGGGCCGGGCGGGGGCTCCGCCGCGCTCCCCACACCGCGCTCCCCACAGCGAGGCCGCTCCCGTGCCGCGGGGACGGGGATCGGGGGGTCCCTCGGGCGAGAAAGAGGAGGGCGAACCTCGAAATCACGTCACGGGCGGCAGAAAGGGAAACGGAAGGGCTGCAGGATCCGCGCCAGCTGCTGCCCTGGGAGCCAAAAGCTCCACAGTGCGGCCGGTGGGGCTCGGGGGGAGCCCGGCTGAGAGCCGGGGCTGCGGGTGCCTGCCCTGCCCGACCTCCTGCCCTCCGTGTCCGTGTCTGAGAGCAATTCACACACGAATTTTGTCTGAGGGGGGACCAAACCCTGTTGTTTGCTCCCCCTCAGGCAACCAGCCTCTTTCCCGCTTGCCAGAACCATCCCAAGCAACGAGGTCTTTTCTTTTTGAAACAAGGTCTTTCTTCTTGAAAACCGGGGGCGCCCGACTCGCTGCCGTGTGCCTGGACAGGGAGCGGCTGAGGTGGAGGGTGATGCTCTCCTTCACGGCGCTGCTGAAGTGCTCCTTCTGCACAGCCAGGTAAAGCCCCGCGTCCTCAGGTGAGGCACATCTTTAAAGGAGAGCATTTGTGAGAGTTAAGATCTCCAGCTTCTCGTCACAAGGAAAAAATAATAGTGAGGAAAAAAAAAGCTAAATATATTAAGCTTAAAAGCACCTATCAGTCCATCTCTGAAAGCACAAAGTCATGTAAAATGGTCTTCACAAAGGCATTTACCTCCAGGAAAAAAAAATGCAAAACGGTACAATGAGAAGTTATGTATGTTGAGCTTTAGTCTATTTTCTATTACCCAGAAGTTGGTCACTGCTCCTTACTTCCCCCCTGAAATATCCAGCATTGATGTAGGCACCACTATGGAAATACACATTTGAACACTTCAATAGCATGGTGTAAGAGAAAAATAGTTTTATAATGGCAGTCATAAAATTAATTTCCTTGGACTAATTATTCCAGGATAATTCCAGGGTGACTCTGCAGATAGGGTCTCGTTCAACTAGCGTAAGAAAGCAGATTTTTCAGTGATGAACCAATCTGAGTTTCTTGTTGCTCTGGAAATCCTACCTGTTAATATGCAGCTAATGATTTCAGATATTTACTGCTGTACAAAATGGTTATGGCTCCCTGAGATTATTTCTGTTCTTTAATACAACGAGGCAGGTCTTCTCTATGGCACTTTGAGCAGAGCAGATCCGAGCTCACCAACCACTGCTGCACCTTATCAGGTATAATGGGAGTTCAGCAGAAACAAACTTACAAGTCGTTGAAAATTACCCATGTTCTTTGCCCTCATGAAAACAAGGTCCACGCTATTAATTGCAAAGCGGAGGTAAACTTTATTTTAAGCATTTAAATGTGTTTAATATATCACCAGAACACCAAATAACCAGTGTCCTTTAAAGTTATCTATTTATTTCCTGCCCAGTTCTTTCCCCACCCTAGCCAGCATTTTGGGTTGATTTGGGTTTTGGGTTGGGTTTTTTTTCCTAGAGAATTAGAGCATTTTTCATTGTAGGTGCTCTCAACATCTACGGTCTGGGTATGTGCAGTATTGAATTTGTATCTCTGACCAGAATCACTTAAGTAATTCAGGAGGCAGTTTACAATTTAAGCAAGTTGCTTAAATTGCCATTGCTTTTGACCAGCAATGCACATGTGTGCAAGGGAGAAAAGGGCCAGTAAATGCAGTGTGAGCAGTTAGCAAAGTTCATACAAATACTCTTTCTCTCCAAAAAGAAAAAAAGTTGCCTGTCATATCACATTAAAATTCTTGTACAAGAATAGCAAAGTGATTCTCCTTCATGGTAGGCTTTGCAGTTCAATAAGGATTACCATTGCATGTCCAGGAAAGATAAATCCAGTGAGGGTAAAAATAACCTCTTCTGGATTTAATGGGACATTGGAGACCAAAGAGCCAAGGCTTTGCAAATCCATGGGGTCTGTCTGACATGCTTTTCACGTAGGAGAGATGCATGTTGTGTTTCCTTCCGGATGATGTAATTCTCAGGGTGACCCTCATGTGCTTTTGCCATCATATGACACTCCACTGCAAACACAAAGTTCCTTTGTGTGCAGAGTCCTTATTTATAACTCTTGCAATTTTGATCAGAGCCTTTTTTTTTTTTCCCTTCCTGAAGGCACTACTTTTCACGTGAAGATGAAGATTTGAAGATTACTGTGACATGACTTTTAAGTATTTATGCAATATGGTTCCCATGAATTTGAAACTGAGCCTTTTGCACTTGCAGAGAAAGCAGCACTGCTTTCTTTCTCATTTACAAAGAGATTAAACCAAGCAATTGCAATAAAAAAATTAAATTTATGGCAGCACTGAAGCTGATTCTGTTGCTTTCACTTTAAATTTGAAAAAAAAAAATAAAAGGTCAGAAAAAAATATTTTTAAGCCAAAACCCTACCGGGGTAGGGTATGAGGGCTTTTTTAATTATACCTTAGGCAAAAGCAAATTTACTGCATATTCACGAACACCAGTTACCAGAGCAACCAGGAATCCAACAGAAAAAAAGCACAGAACAACAGATAGAAATAAGGAACTGCAGATAGGAGTAAAGCAGTTCTCCATTTGGGACACACATCCTGTGGCAGCTTGTATGCCCTGGCATGTGATTTTTATAGCAAAGTGGAAAAGTCTGTATTTTAGCCCCACTTCATGAAGGAGTTGAACTTAAATATTCATGGGGGCTTGAATGTTAATTCTCTTTAACAATAGACATTTCCAATCCTGGACTTTCTAATTTCACTGGTATGCTTTATATACTGGTTTAACAGGTTCTTTTCATTTAAACTGATGCAGATCTTATTAAGGTAATATAGCTCAGAATTGTTATTGTGCCTCTCTGAAAGCAGAATTAGATTCATACCACAGGTCATGAGTGATCAGAGTGGGTCACCTGTTTCCAGAATCTGATCTTCACAACTGAAAATGTCCTCAAGGGGGGCACCAGAGCCATTCTTCATCTTTTCAATGCTGGGCTGGGGCAAACAGTTCTCCTGCTGCCATCGACTGACAAACAACAAGCTCCAGGAGGGGTGGATCCATTCCCTGTCTGCTGTCTCTGGGGTGAAATGAGGATGGTTCCCTGCATTATTCAGGGATTCCTAATTTGTCGACCAGAAAAGCTGCACTTAATGTGTGACTGTCCACACTCACCAGAGGGGATGAGGAGGGTGAGGAGGCGTTGCTGACCACTAACAGCCAACGTGTGTGGCTGCCAGCAGGGTCCTCACCCCTCAGTGAGTGTCTGTCTGTGTGCTGGCTGCAGACTGAACTCAGGACAGAGCACAGCGGTGTTACAGGAACCTCTGTGCACAGATTGGGGTCTGTTTACTGTGGCTTTGCATTGATATTTTTAGGTTACTGAAAGCTGCAGGCTTGTCAGACGTGCACATTCATCTGCAGAACTGGGGGTGAACTCAGTGACCCAGAAGGTCCTTTCAACTCCCCCGTTCATCATTTATTCTGTATCACTTTATACAGTAAATGAGGAGCTGTAGCTTGTCACCATTCCATTAAACACTTCCAAGCAACACTGACTTTCACACTACCCTCAAAAACAAGATGTGCTTTATGAATTGGATCATCAGATATGGCACAGAGGCATCCAGGGTTATGTGCTTCACAGTCTATGTCTTTCAGGAGCATAAACCCCATTATTCAAAAGCTAAAGCACAGAGGTACCAAAGTGCCCTTAGCAGTGAGCAGGATTAGAGTTAAGTCTTTTCACAAATTAAATAACCTGGAGGGCATTGTAGATTTTACCCAAGGTTTGCAGTAACCTGAAATCAGCCAAGCTGAGATCCTGTCAGATTGCTGCTTTGATCACAGAGGTATTAAAACCAAATCTCTGTCAAACAGGAGAGGAAAATACTGTTTTTTCTGGGCACCATTAGATTAGAAATTTACTCCAGAAATGCTGACTTTCAAGACATGCCACAGTGGTCTGGCAGACATAAGGCATAGCTTTTAAATAGCAAGAAGGAATCACAGCACTTGACTTTTATCACCCTATCACTGTTAATCTGGGTTCAGAAACAAACACTGACTCATTCTGAATTCTGATAAAGGAGTTCTCATCTATTTTTTCTGTGTTAATTTTATTCTACATGCATTCCATGAGTTATGTAATTATTCCGTGACTTAGGGATGACTCTGCAAATCAGCTGAAGCCAAAATATTTAGTAAAACTGCTTTACTCTGAAAAACAAAACAAAACGGTTAGCACAATATTTTTGTAAACTGTTACTAAATCACCCAGAACACAAACATGTCCTTTAAAAACAGAATCATAGAATCACAGAATGGTTTGGGTTCCATATATATTTCTGTGTATATACATATATACACACACTTATATAAACCCTGAACTTCCTCCAAGTCAGAATCTGTGAGTGGCTTTTTAGCTGAAGCACTGTTATTTTTAGGTATTTATCTACCAAATTATATAACAGATTTAAATTTTACCTTGTGCAGGCATTTTGGATGTACTTAATAGACAGGAGCTGTTAGACCATCTGTTTGTCTTCATACCTGTATTTTCTTAGTTGTCACTGTAATGAGCAAAGGCAGGCTTTAAGTAGTGTGGCCTTAACTAGGAACCCATTTGTGAGGCTTAAATACAGCAACTGTTCTACCACATGACTTTCCTCATGAGGAAAAACATACAGTTGGAGATGAACTGCAGATCCAAGAGTAGAGTTTCTGGTGGAGTTCAAATCTCTGAGAGAAATCAAGTACCTTTCTGGAGCGCTATTAGCCTTTAATTGTTGATTAAATAATAGAATTATTTACTACTTCTAATGTAGCAGGTCCATCTCCTATGGAGAAATTACTCCAGTTTTACCAGGTATGCCACTGGGATTAATTACTGTAGTTTCTACATTAGCACTAGGCCACAAAACTTCCTAAACTAATGAAACCAGGCTTTTCGTTTTAGTACGTAGAATTTGGTCCGTTTAATTTGTTCAGCTTTGTTTTTCTTCCCATTATTATTATTAATAATCGAGCAATCTATCTCAGACTTTTCTCCAGCAGTGTCCAGAAAGGAACAAAACATGTTTGTGTGCAAATCCCTTCTGCAGAAGAGAGGAAGACTCCAGCTCTGTGAAGACTGAATCATTGAAGAAGCGAAAGGTGGCAGTGGAAGTGCAAACCATATCGGTCCTTTCTGTGTGCTTATCGAATTCCCTTAAAACATGGTGGCCAGTTTTTCCCACATCTGCAGCTTACCAGGACTCAGTAGCAAAGTTCCATCCACTTTTTCTTGCCTCCATAACCTCAGTGCTCCCCACTGAAGTCTAGGTTTTCATCCAGTCCTGTCACAGAGCCCAGGGTGTTTGGCACTGGGGAAGGTTTTTCACCTGATGGTAAAAGCCTCTATGGCATTACTTCTTTTTTGTGAAGACTGATAAGTAACCAGAAAGGTACCCCATGAGCTCAGGTGCAGTGCAGCAGAGAGCAACCAGCCAGACACATGTTTGTTCAGAACTTTTCAAGACTGGTTGATCACGTTGGGAACAGAGACTAGGTTTTCCTGCAGTCATTGAAAAGAGGTTAAAAAGGGATTTGTGAGTAAGAAAATGGCCATGGAAGGCATAATGAGTAGGACACAACCAAAACCAAGGCAGCAAAGCACATAACATTCCATGAGCAAAGCTGTCCTGTCTCCAAATGGTTCCATGCACGGCAGTGCTCTGAGCTGGCAGGTGCACCTTTCCCAAAATGTGTGTTGAAACGAGATAGAACAGCAAGGAAGGACCAAGAAGCAGAACAGAGACACAGGAATTCACCATTGCTCCTTAATGGGAAGTAGCTCAGCCCAATGTACCTCTCCCATCCCGTTCAGCTGCAAAGCAAGAGCAGATCCCTGGTTCTCTGACTCCCAAATACAGTGTGAGATCCCAAAGAGTGACGGGAATGACAGGAAAGAGAGCCAAAGCATGACAGCTCCTGTAAAATTCCATTCATAAAGCTTCATATTCACCAGATACCAAACCAGCAACTTGTTGGAAGAGCAAGAAATACATCCTAGGTGAGCTGTGCAGAGCCACGGGGAACCACGGCAAAGCTGAACAGAGGAGAAAAGGAGCGAGTGGGAGGGAAGAATTCTTGAGACAAAAGTCAAAATCTTTTAGCGTGGCCAGCTTTGCTCCGCTCCCAGCTCCCACTTTCCCCGCAGCAGCCGAGGGTCCCATGTGCGGGATGTGTGGATGGCGCTGCCACCTCGTGTCGCCTGCCAGAACTGCTCCCCGATCCCACGGAGCTGCAGGCGATGGCATCGCATGTCCGGGCAGAACGGCCACACCCCTTTTACGTTTCTTAGCCTTTTTTATCCCCCGTTATGGAGTCTCCTCCGTTCTCGTAGACCACAGTCAATCCTTCTTTCCTAGAGCTGACTTCCAAAGGGAGCTGCTCCAGACATTGAGCAGTTGGGTAATTAAAGAGCACGAGGGATCTTAAGCTGGAAATTTGGTGCTTTCGGCACAAGTGTCGTGTAGAACAAAAAGCAGTTCTGACCTTCGGTGGTGGCCAGACTTGTAAAGAATAGGATCAATAGACACCTTCGTGCTGGCCAGATTCTCCAGCCATGCTGCATAAACTAATCTGCTAGGACAGATTTTAACTCATCTCTCCAAAATTCATGTCTTGATTTGCTTGGGCACTAAGTATAAAAACCACAGCCAGTAATGTAAGACATTCACAAATTTGGTGGGCACTCCTGTCTCTTGAAGCCCGTGTGGACAGATTTTCTTCACACTTCTTCAGCCAGTCTTACATTGCCCAGTATGAGCAGCTCGACAGGAGAGGGTTTGTATTTTGTGTCAGGAGCTCCAGGAGTCTGTGTTTACACAAACCCTGCAGCCTGTTTTTGTGAACATAGCATTCTGTAGGCACCAAACTTAGTTCTCTGAATGTAACAACACAGAAACTAATTTAGTTTAAAAAATGTTTAAAAGCACCCTAACCTGAGGCTGGTCAGATGTATTTGCTTACACTTGATATGGACATTCAGGTGTGTGGACATTCATAGCTGTGTTTAGATTGACTCAGATATTAATTAGAAGAAATATTACAGAATCACAGAATCGCTAAGGTTGGAAAAGACTTCAAAGATCATCAAGTCCAACCATTCCCCAGCACTGCCAAGCCAATCACTAAATCATGTCCCCAGGTGCCACATCTACATGTCTTTTAAATCCCTCCAGGGATGGTGACTCCACCATTGCCCTGGGCAGCTGTGACAGTGCCTGACCACCCTCTCAGTGAAGAAATTTTCCCTGATATCAAATCTAAACCTCCCCTGGTGCAACTTGAGGCTGTTTCCTCTCATCCT